TGGGTTTACACTAACTAAAAAAAACCTGGCTAAAACTACCATTACAGTGTAAAGAAATATCTCTTTTCCAACTACTCACTCCATCAGCTTGATTCCTGCTCATAAACATAGTTAATCTAACTTATGTCATAAACAAACAACTCTAAGACCTGTAAAAATCCACGACGTCTATCTGCTTCGGTTTTCAAGGTGACTCAAGTGTCTTAAAAAACATGTTTTCTCTTAAAGTAATTGCTCCTTACAATGCACAGTCCCATCTTTTGCACGAAGCTTTAAGTTTCAAAACATTGATATGTAGGTTTCCAACAAAAACTACAAAGAGACCCGAGCAAAATCAATGAAGGATCAACCAATTTATGGCAGTGAATATGTGGCAGCGACGGAGCGACGAAAGTGAGCGACATTATCGGTCGACCATCGGAAAAATGTCGAGCGAAACGACTGTTTACGAAAGCTCTCGAAGTCCATACGAAAAAAAAACGATGAGGAGGGATAGACACTGTACCTGGGGCGCACATCGGTCCATCACGTGACCTTTGTTTCATACCTTGTCACAGACTAGTTTGTATCCCGCGAGGCGCGCGATAGTGACGTAATACCACAGGTAATACCATAGGTAACCCACAGCGCGCGCAGATTCGATAACATAATATAAAAGCGTGCGCATTCATTCTTTTCTTTCTCTCAAGCAATAGTTGGATAGCCTATGGATTTGCGACGCTTTTCCGTCGCAAATTATGCAAATTAGGTCAGTTTTGTTTTTGCCGCTKTAGAGCATCAAAATGACAAAAAAGAAGAAGGTTTAGCACACAACTTAGTTTAGGAACAGTATTGACACCTTTTAAAAAACACAAATGTGTGAAAACATGTGTGGTTATGCGATAAAAGTATGATATTTTTGATCAAACAGGCGATCGCGCGCTGGCGACTTGAAAAACCGATTTGAAAACAATGCGCGCTCGCGTCATTTTCAACCAATCACGAATCGAGAAAAAATTGTTTCCTCCAGAGTCTCTCACGCATTGACATCCGCTGGATGGCAAAAGTGTGGGCTCTGGGTACGAGATTGCTAACTATTAGACTTATTGTGCTTTCATGGTTGGCGAAAAACCACTCTAATATTTCGCTGCTACTTTAGATGCGCAATGCATTTGGCCAGAAAATGCTGTTATGTAAACTCCTCGAAGCAAGGTAAACTATTTTTTATTGTGAAAGTAAGAACACACACGTGCACATTATTTATTGTTGTCATTTACGCAACATATTGTCACAGCCTTTAACATGAATCTAGTTTTTTGACAAACTTTTGATTTTGCCTTTGAAGGATAATGCCGTTTAAATTTTGTTTATAACTTTCTTTGCTTCATGGCTAATGATTGCTATATTGCAGGGTGAAAGGACGGCGTCAGTATGCAGTCCAAGCATGCATGTCTAGCCTAGATACGCATGCTTGGACTGCATGAGCAGCCGCCCTTAACTAGTGCCGTGCTGCTTTTTAAAATATTAGACGGTGCTCGTTTATTTTTTAGCAAAGGAAGTGTTGTCACCATCACCGAACTTGTCTTCAATGGGACAAAGATGGAGAGCGAAGTACTGGGAACATTAGCTAATGCAACAGTCAACGGGACGCTGGGGAAACTTCTTTTAAAAGCGTCTGCAGGATTCAATGCATCTGCACAAATAGGTAAGTTCAGATTATAGCTCAGTTAAATGAAGCATCCGTAACTTTTAAAAATAAATGGCAGCTAACAAACATGTCATTTTAGGGGGGAAAGGGAGTTTCCATGCGTTCTATTGAACTAAACTTTTTTGTCCAAGACTGTGGGCTGCGAGTTGAAGCTTGCTTGTGGAATGCTTGATTTTGGAAGAAAAAATCTCTTCAAGAGATAACTCTATCATATATTTATCTATGAAATACCTATATNATTACAACAGGAACTCGCTTGACCAAAAGTCCACACAAATTTAAAATGATAGTGTTATTGCACTTATGAATTGTAAGGCCTAAGGAGGATTTCTACATACCCTTTTGATAAGCCCCGCGTATTGCGTTCTCCGCACTTGACGTCAAATTTATTCTTTGGGAATTTTTACAATACAAAAGGAATTCAAAAGAATAAATTTGACGTCAAGTGCGGAGAACACAATACTTCGGGTGTATAGTCAATCGTAACGCACTCGTTTGATCCCGGCATTCCAGCGTTAAAACTGTGTTCCCTAAATACCTCAGATCTTCCGATCCCTGCATGATTCCTATAAGAAATTTATCTCGACTGATTACAACGTTTGGAGCCCATGAATAACATTGATTGCTTATTTGTTTCAAGCTTTTTCCAGCTACTAAATTACAGGAGCGGATCAAAGAGTGTGACCTGGTGCATAATTCAAGAAAAAGGATAGACCAACACAAATTAAAGATGTGCCCCCTCCCTCCCCCCTCACAGTCGATACAAATATAAAATTCACCAATATTTAATTGGTGGCATTCACAGAAGACGGATGTAGAAATCCTTCTTTCTACGCGTGCACAGTGTACTCTATAAATTTCAAAGTTTTCTCACCCATTAAGTATTTAATCATTTACACATGCAGCCATGAAACCTTGGAGTTATAATTCAACTGGCCAAAATGTCTGACTGACTAGCCTGATAACACCAAATAAAGCATATTCTCAATGTGTTTCCTCATTTTCGTGAAAAGACCCGAATTAAATGAAATTACCCATGATCGATGCAACTGATTAAACAAATAATATATGCTAGGGTTTATTATTATTATTTTTTTTTTCAAATGGCAGTAAACACATTTCATTTGCAATTTAATCAAAATTGCACAAAATTGCACTAAATTTGATAATGAAGCAGAACTGCCTTTGAGCCACCATTGTTCATTACTGATAGAGTGATCGCACTTAATCTGTGCAACTGTACAAACTGAATAGTGCTTTTTATTTGTATTTAGTAAATCGTGCATGCTGTACGCAAATTAAAATTGAATTGATACAATGAGGGGTCCATGAGGCATTCAATATCGTCTTGCTTTAGGTCCACTTTTAGTACAAATTAATACTACTTAGATTAAAATTGTAAAGTTGCACGTTTTTTTTTTTTTTTTTTTTTTTTTGCTTTTTTTGCACTTAAAAGTGCGATCACTCTGAGTTCGTTCATTATATTAAGTATAATTATCTGGTTTATTTACCCTTTGCTTTAATTATTCATGTTAATATTATTGATCTATTGATCTATTGATTTATTGATTTATTTATCTATTGATCTATTGATTTATTAATTTGTTTTTATTTTATTATTTTATTATTGATTTATTTTACGAATAATTAAACATTATGTTTGCACTTGAAAGATCCAATAGAGCAGAGTCACATGAACCATGAAATAAGAACTAAAAAGTACTAACTAATAGGGACTATTWGTTCCTAATAGTCGTTAGCACTGAACCAGAACAGTTTATTTGATCCAATAAGCAATACCCAAGGGACCACTTTAACAATCAAAGTAATCTCTTTGTACTGTTCTGGTTCAGTGATAGTGTCTAAATAGTGCCTATTACACCTTTTGCTGTTCATTAACCGCGAAGGGACTTTCAATCAAGCGAAACTGCATTGTCTTTAGCGCGAACGAACGTTCATTAACGCTTAGGGAGTTTCAAGAGCGTGAAGGGAGAATCATTAACATATTTATCATAGACATGGACAATCATGCATAACTGGGCGCAGATTCATTAACGTTTTCAAACCTTCATTAGCCCATTATGTGCATTCAATAAACTACAACAAACATACAATACCAAAATACGGACATTTAATTTCGTCATAGTTTTTGCAGTCAAATTTCAGCATGAAATATGACTCGTTACAGCTACNAGGTAACCCACAGCGCGCGCAGATTCGATAACATAATATAAAAGCGTGCGCATTCATTCTTTTCTTTCTCTCAAGCAATAGTTGGATAGCCTATGGATTTGCGACGCTTTTCCGTCGCAAATTATGCAAATTAGGTCAGTTTTGTTTTTGCCGCTTTAGAGCATCAAAATGACAAAAAAGAAGAAGGTTTAGCACACAACTTAGTTTAGGAACAGTATTGACACCTTTTAAAAAACACAAATGTGTGAAAACATGTGTGGTTATGCGATAAAAGTATGATATTTTTGATCAAACAGGCGATCGCGCGCTGGCGACTTGAAAAACCGATTTGAAAACAATGCGCGCTCGCGTCATTTTCAACCAATCACGAATCGAGAAAAAATTGTTTCCTCCAGAGTCTCTCACGCATTGACATCCGCTGGATGGCAAAAGTGTGGGCTCTGGGTACGAGATTGCTAACTATTAGACTTATTGTGCTTTCATGGTTGGCGAAAAACCACTCTAATATTTCGCTGCTACTTTAGATGCGCAATGCATTTGGCCAGAAAATGCTGTTATGTAAACTCCTCGAAGCAAGGTAAACTATTTTTTATTGTGAAAGTAAGAACACACACGTGCACATTATTTATTGTTGTCATTTACGCAACATATTGTCACAGCCTTTAACATGAATCTAGTTTTTTGACAAACTTTTGATTTTGCCTTTGAAGGATAATGCCGTTTAAATTTTGTTTATAACTTTCTTTGCTTCATGGCTAATGATTGCTATATTGCAGGGTGAAAGGACGGCGTCAGTATGCAGTCCAAGCATGCATGTCTAGCCTAGATACGCATGCTTGGACTGCATGAGCAGCCGCCCTTAACTAGTGCCGTGCTGCTTTTTAAAATATTAGACGGTGCTCGTTTATTTTTTAGCAAAGGAAGTGTTGTCACCATCACCGAACTTGTCTTCAATGGGACAAAGATGGAGAGCGAAGTACTGGGAACATTAGCTAATGCAACAGTCAACGGGACGCTGGGGAAACTTCTTTTAAAAGCGTCTGCAGGATTCAATGCATCTGCACAAATAGGTAAGTTCAGATTATAGCTCAGTTAAATGAAGCATCCGTAACTTTTAAAAATAAATGGCAGCTAACAAACATGTCATTTTAGGGGGGAAAGGGAGTTTCCATGCGTTCTATTGAACTAAACTTTTTTGTCCAAGACTGTGGGCTGCGAGTTGAAGCTTGCTTGTGGAATGCTTGATTTTGGAAGAAAAAATCTCTTCAAGAGATAACTCTATCATATATTTATCTATGAAATACCTATATTTCTCCATTTCGTGAAATCGATATTTTCACTAGTGAAAATAACTGAAAATAACACATTCGAGATTTCTCTATATAGTGAAAGTGAGAAAAAAAGGTATTTTACGACATTGATTTGCTTTAATATGTAATATGATAAACAGAATATTTACATGGTCGCTTGAAGATACGAATTTTATCTTCTCTTGTTGAAAATCTCTCACTCACACCAGAAGATATAATCCGTATCCCCGCGCGCCCATGTAATATCCTCTATAAATTCAAACACACTGTGAATATATATGTTATAAAGAATAAAAAGTTTACAAACAAATATATGAGAATATATTAAAGAACTATACAAGCAAGATACAGCAGTACGTCGACAGCCTATCCCAACAGGTGTCTGCTAACAATTTTCAACTTAATGAAGACAAATGTAAAGAATTGAGGATTAGTTTTGTACGATCCAACGAAGTTTTTGAGCCAATAAAAGTCAACAATAAGAACATTGACTGTGTTAACAAAGCAAAAATCCTAGGTGTAATTTTGTCAAACGACCTAAAATGGAATGATCACGTGAACGAAGTCATTATGAAAGTCAACAAACGTTTATACTTCTTAAGCCAATTGAAACGAGCCCAAGTAAAACCGAAGGAACTTACATCATTTTATACCACTTGTATACGATCCGTGATGGAATACGCATGCGCATTATTCCATAATAGCCTGCCAAAATATCTGTCAAACGATCTGGAGCTCTGCCAGAGGCGTGCCTTGCACATTATACATCCAGGACGAAGCTACGAGCAAGCTCTACAAGACACCGGCCTAGAAAAGCTATGTGAAAGACGTGAAACAATTACATCTAAACTATTCAAAGAAGTTTGCAGACCAGGACATAAACTGAACAAATTGCTTCCACCTAATAATAACTGCCCTTACAACTTAAGAAATAGAAGATCTTTTAATAAAATCAAGATATCAACAAAAAGAACACGGTCAAGTTTCATAAACTTCAATGCAATGAAATAACACTGCTCTATAACAATCTTTTAAATTAAATTCTATATTTTTCATATTTATGAAATTTTATCAAATTTATATATTTATATATCAAATATTGTAACTTTAACGTAATTCAGCCTTTTGGCTGCCAAGTTATTTGAATAAAACTATCTATCTATCTATCTATCTATCTAAATATACATTGTTAATGACCACTAGTACTAAAGGTGTCGCTTAATTATTTAGACGTAGATGATGTATGTGCAAGTAAACCATGCGAAAACGACGGCAAGTGTATTGCCAAAAACAATGGATATACATGTGATTGTAAGCTTTTTCGATTTGGAGAACAGTGCCAAGAAGGTAAACCTGTTTTCTTAGAATCTTATTATTTCAAAGTACAAGGGTTTTTTTTCGTTTTTTTTTTTTTCTTTTCTTTGTTGTTGAATAATTGTTTTGCAATGTCTTCATGCGATTCTCTGCGTGATGCTTTATGCCGATTTCAATAATAAAGTCCAGTGACCACAAACAAAGAATAGAGCCGAGGGGACATGGTATACAGTGAGCATATAAGAGAGGAGGTTTGTGCTTAGTGTTCTTTGGTGCCCGGTTCAATGTTTTGTAACCAAGAGAAAATGAGGTAAGAGAAGGAATCCCTGTTACCCATCATATCAGCCCTTCGTTCTATTTTTAGAAAAAGAGCTATTTTTAGTTTGTTACCAAGCCCGCGCGACCACTACTCGTTTATCGGAATTTGATATCGGCTATTTTTCATCGCCAAAAACTGAATGTCAAATACTGTTCGAGAAAAGCTACGAAATTCGCTTTTAAAAAGGAAACTTCTTGAAGAAGAAAAGGAATCTTCTTCAAAACAAAGAAAACTTGAAAGTGTCGAAGAAGAATCAGCTTCTGAAGGTAATGTGACATGAAATTAGATCGACAATCTGACCTTTGAATTCTCTGACCTCTCGAGCAGTAATATTTAACCTGGAATAGATAATTTATAAAACGCATTATTTACATTTGTAGATTCAACACGAAAGGATGTTGTCCTTGATCGATCGAGGGAAGAAGTAAACAGCAAGAATTCGCTCGCCATAAAGACATCACTATCTTCGGTACTGGAACCGTCTTCTTCTTATACGACTTCACTCGAAGACACTTCACTCGACGAAAGCACATCACTTTCACATGATTCATTGGTGTCTTCAACTTCAGACGTATCAGTATCTTCGTGACCCTGCCCGACACTTTCACCATTTATAAACCAAAACCACTGCTTTCTCCTTCTTCCTCTGCANGCTTTTGAAATAATGATTACATTGAACAATGCAATAAATGGCCCACGTTTTGAAATATGGCCGTTTAGGCCGAGGGACAAGGCCTATGCAGAGACGAAGTGAAACCAATTTTGCAATAATTATTGAGTTAAAAAAATTATTTTTTTCGCCCAATGGTAAGAGAGAAGAGAACTCGCCGAGAAAATAGTACAGTGACAATATGATAATTAAATGACTTCCAAATACACGTGAAACAAAGTGGCACACCAAAACGACAAAGAGAAGTGTGCATATAGAATTAAACTGAGTAATAATATACAGCATGCTATTAAGGGACATGATCCTCCAGCATTCAATGCAGTCGTGTTTTAGATATTTCATATTATGGAAAACAAGGTGACGAATATCCATTCGCAATCCGTTTCCATCGATCGGTTCAAAAATCGAATCTTCTAATTTTTGCTTAGAATATCTCCGTTCCAAGTTTTTGCTTATATTACGATATATTTTTACTTTCAAACATGCGCCAACGCTCGAAAGGAGTGCTGGTGGACCACTCTATCCCGTTATGATATGATATAGACTAATGATAAGTGTCATGTTGTCCACACAAACATTTTTTGATAGATGTTGCTTTTTGATTACCATAAAAAAACTAACTTGCAAGGCTTTTAATGACTGATCATTGATGGAGAAAGGGGTGGGTGATAAAATGGTGGCCTAAAAAGGGTATATAGTGTAGCATAGTCCATATCGCAACCCGCGGAAAGCCTTGTGACGCAGTGCATTTTGGGATTGATAAATGAGTGAACAAGTGAAAAACGATGTCAGTGCTCCAGTTGTCTGTAACGTAGACTCAGTTTTCGAAAAACATTGGGAAATATTGATATTGTAGTTAATCTCAAAAACGAAAAAACAAACAAATATCAACATGCAAGGAAATACAGCAAGAAAAACCTCCAAAAAATGTACAGTTAATCAAGAATCATCCATTTACTAGGCAAATCAAGCAAAAATGAAAAGAAACATATTTTGTCTGTGGAAAAATCGAAACTAATTAGCGTTTTTTTTTACGATTTTAGCGATTTGTTTTAATGAAGAAAGGGAGATATATATCCYATGATACATTGCAAAACCATTCAAAATGGYGGGATTATGATATGGACTATGAAAAGGGACATACCGAWAAAAAGAGAGGTTTAGAGAGGTTTAGCATGACGYTCACGGCAAACGCCAAACGGTAGAAAAGATCACGTSACCTGCTTTTTKGAGTTTAAYGTTGCAGTTTCAACGCGAGAGCTGGTTATTTTGAGGTTGCCATAATCGTGRAAAGCCGCTCTTTCAAATGACTACCCAAAGCACAAGGTCGGGCACGAAATTCTTAGGTCATTGGTTCAACTCTGCCGTTAGCCGTTTGCCGTCAACGTGATGCTAAAACTCTCTAATGCTAACATACCACAAACCCCACTACTCAGCACTCTCTTCGTAAAAAAAGAACGGTCTCTTAGCAAATACACTTTCTATATAAAATTGCCCTTGTAGTCACGTCAAAATTAATTCATTTATCTTTTTTCTCCTTCTTTGGCTGCATTGGACTCGTTGTTTTCTGCAGGTACGTGGTAGTACATTCGTCTTTCCTGATGTTTCTGGTGCTGGCTGAAGAAAGCTACAAAAAACTCGCTCCATCCACCAGTGCGCACGCGTATCAGGTCGTATTGTTCTGGCTTACATTGTGCGTTGGCAAAAGTCTCGGGACTTCCACAGGTGACTAAAATAGAATGATTATAAGAATAAGAGATGAGCAATTAACATAGTTCCATAGTTCAATAGTGCTATTAACTGACATGTTCTGCCAAGGTTTAT